GCTGGGCGGGGTGAGGGCTTCAGGAGGACGCGGTGGGCGGCGAGGGGGGGAAGGCGGCCCCCGCAGAGGGGCAGCCGGGTGACCACCGGGGTCAGGGACTAAGGTCGGAGGTCACAAAGCCAGGGGCGGCGTCCGGGCCGAAGGGGCGCGAGGTGGACCGGGGAGAGAGGGGGGTTCGGCGTCCGCCCGGGGTCAGAGGTCGGCCGAGGGGCGCGGGGTCAGGGGTCAGGCCGCGGTCACCTTGAGCAGCACGAAGAACTCGAAGAGTCGGCGGAAGGCAGGCGGGAAGAGGCGAGAGTAGGTCACGGCCATTTTGAAGAAGAGCGCGTGGAAGAGCCGGTCGCGGACGTTGATGAGAGGGTTGGGGTTCAGGTTGGGGGTGCGAGGCCCTCGCGCGGGGGCCGGGCCGCCGCCGCCGCCATTGGGCCCAGGCCCCGGGGCACCGGGCGCTGCGTGCTCCGACATGCCGCCCAGAGTGGTGCCCTAGCGGTCCGCAGGCTCCTGAGGGCCAGCTCTTACCGCCATCGGCCTCTTACTGCCCCCGCGGCCGCCCGGCCGCCGCCGCCATCTTCCGCATCCGGCTCCAGCCGCGGCCCAGGTGGTGCCAGTGAGTCGTCGCCCCGGGCAAGAGCGTCGCTTGCGACCGCGATGAACGCTGGGATGTCGGCAGCCGCCCGCGGAAGCTACGGCCTTACGCTCCGCCGCGAGGCTCCACCGTGTTGGGGGCGGGGCTACATCGCAGATGGGTCTTTTGCATATAAGCCCCCATAAGCCTCTGCAACAGTTGATCTCCTCGCTTGAGCAGTAAAATAAGTCAACATCTGAGTTTTGGATGGAATTAAATGTATTGAAAGCATACTGACGTTTTGAAGAATTTATTTTAAATAAAATCGTGCATCATTAACATTACCTATAGCTAGAATGACGCACCCTGATTGTAAAGTGTTTTAATTTCCGGACTATAAATAAGGATGGTCTCGGTTTTTTTGGCGTGCTCGCTTCGGCAGCACATATACTAAAATTGGAACGATACAGAGAAGATTAGCATGGCCCCTGCGCAAGGATGACACGCAAATTCGTGAAGCGTTCCATATTTTTCCTAGTGCGTCATGACGCCTGCGCGGCGCTCTCCTCCATCCCGGAAGGCACTCTCTGTGCTGCTCCGCTCCTGGCGGGGGCGGACTGTCCCCACTGTGTGCTGGCCGTCCCTCCTGCGTGCTGACCATCTTTCTCTCTCCCTGGCCTCCCCTCCATGGTGCTGGCTGTCCCCCTCTGACACTGACCCCTGGGAGCTGACCTCTCCTCCCAGGCGCTGACCACTCAGCCTCGGCGCGGTGCACGGTGGCGCGGTGGTGCCGGCTTTCGCGCTCGTCCCCCCCATTGCCCCAGGAAGTAGAGGGCGGAGGCTGCGGGCAGGGCGCTGAGCGGCTGCTGGCTGCGGGTTCGAATCCACCAGCCGCTCACGGAGACAGCCGGCCGTGGGCTCCGAACCGGCGACGCTCAGCTGAGCCCTCAGGGCCGCAGGGCGCTTGGGGCGTTTTCCTGTTTGCGGCGTTCACAGGCTCAAGTGGAGACGTGAGGACGGTGCGGGCTGGACAAGGCTCGATCCACGGCGCCCACGACTGTGTGGTCAGCGCTAACTGACCGCTCAGTGACCTGCTCTGCGGCGAAGTTCTGCTTCTCAGCGCTCTGGGGGCAGGGTCGCTGAGGACGTGGGTGACCCAGTGTCCAGGGCACGGCCCATGCCCGCAAGCAAGGCGGGATCTGACCACGGCCAGAGGGCAGGAGGGACAGCGCAGGGCCCGGCTGGGAGGAGGTCAGGACGCCAGGGACAGCACGATGTTCTGAACTGGACACTGGTAGCGCCTCGCGCAGGAGCCCAGGCGCCCTGAGGCTGTCACCCAGGGTTTAGGGACAGCAAAGAAAAGTGGACAAGCGACACTGCTGGCTGTGAGGGTCACACTGTGACGGAGATGGACAGAGGCCCCTGAGAGAGGCGAGGATGGAAGGTGGTCAGGGGCGGACCTACATGCTGGGTTTTTATAATCCCCTGGTGCCAGATGGACAGACAGACGAAAGGTACCCCTCCCTTCCTAAGACCAGGAGGCCAACATCATTCCCTTCTGTTAGGTGCACAGGGCCTGGCAAATGGTAGGTACTCAATGAACATTTGCCTACTGAGAGGTCGCAAGTTCTAATCCACCCAGGGGCACCTGAGAAGACAGGCCGGACAATCTATGTCCGAAAAGCCAGCTATTGCGTGGTCTGGCTGAGCCAGGTGATGGTGAGACAGTGGATTCGATTGGTTGGTTTGTTTTAGTCCTTAGAATTATTACTGACCTGGACCTGGACCTGGAGCAGTGATCAGAAGAGCAAGGAACACTGCCTGCTTCAGGATCAGGAAGAGACCGCGTCAAGGATGTGTCCTGTCTCCATACCTTTTCAGTCTATATGCAGAACAGACCATCCAGGAGTCTGGGCTATACGAGGAGGAATGTGACATCAGGATTGGAGGCTGACTCATCAACAACCTGAATAATGCAAATGTCACAACCTTACCTGCCAAAACTGAGGACTTGAGGCATTTGCTGCAGGTCAAGGACTTCAGCCTTCAATGTGGATTTTTTTTT